CCGCCGAGTGGACGGTTGCACACCGCGCCACCTGCTGTGTGCAACCGTCTACTCGGCGGGGTCGCAGCTGCCTCTGGAAGGCACCGAGATGTACCTTTTTGCGCAAATGGTCAAATCAAGGTTTTGTAACGCGAGCTGTGCCACAGTGAAATGGAACTAGCCTTTTGGGTTTTGCATCTAAAGCGTAAAGGGGAAGGCCCCGGGGGGGCCCCGCCGGCTAGGCGCTAGGCCATACAGCCGTCGGCAGCTCCTTACACGTTACAGCTACTAGCCTTTGGGCTCTGGGGACGAGCGGCGGGGATCGGCTGGCGGAGATCAGGGACACATGCAGTGTAAAGGCCCTTTTTTGAGCAAGGGCGGTTCCGAAGGGGTGTGTGTGCTGTGTACATCGCGTTCTGAAGAAAAAGCACCAGTACGTGTTCGCGCACATGTAAATGCTGTCTGTATCTGTATCGTCTGCATATCTTTCGTTGAGTCTACAGCGAAGTCACAGCGATGTCAATCGTCACGGCTCACGCCTGTCAGTCTGCATGGAGCGCGAGGTGCGCAAAGTCGCCCTCGAACTCCTCGAGGTCGCGCTGGCGCGCCGCGCCGTCCGGGCCGTAAGAGCCGAGCCTGGTCTGGGCCCGCTCCAGCCAGCAGTAGAGGAGGGGGCGGCAGCGCTTGTAGGCCAGAGCCCCATCCACTGCATCGTGCCAGCGCTGCAGGCCGTGCATCCTCTTGGGAGGGAGGCGGAGGACCGTGGTGGCGGGGGGGAAGGCGTTGGGGCGGATGGTGGCGGTCTCTGGCACGGTGACGCGGGTCAGGGAGGAGCAGCCGGAGAAGGCCCAGCCGCCGATGGAGGTGAGGCCAGCGGGGAAGGTGACGCGGGAGAGGGAGGAGCAGCGGGCGAAGGCGATCATGCCGATGGAGGTGAGGCTGGCAGGGAAAGTGACGGTGGCGAGGGCGGAGCAGCTGGCGAAGGCGTTGTAGCCGATGGAGGTGAGGCCGGCGGGGAAGGTGATGAATGTGAGAGCGGAGCAGCGGTAGAAGGCTTGCGTGCCGATGGAGGTGAGGCCGGCGGGGAGGGTGGCGGAGGAGAGAGAGGTGCAGCCAGAGAAGGCTTCGCTGCCGATGGAGGTGAGGCCTTCAGGGAGTTCGATGGAGACGAGCGAGGAGCAGAAGGCGTAGATGCCGATGGAGGTGAGGCTGGCGGCGAAGGTGACGCGGGCGATGGAGGAGCAGCGGGCGAAGGCGCGGCTGCCGATGGAGGTGAGGCCGGCAGGGAGGTCGATGGAGGAGAGCGAGGAGCAGCCCTCGAAGGCGCCGCTGCCGATCGAGGCGAGGCTGCGCGGGAAGGCGACCGAGACGAGAGAGGTGCAGTTGATGAACGCCCGGTCAGGCAGGTGCGTCATGCCTTCGGGCAGCACCGCGTGCCCATCGGTGATGACGACGTGCCAGCCACCCACGTCCAAAATCTCGGAGCCGGGCGGCGGCGCGGCGCCGCTCGGCGGCGGTGAAGGCGTCGAGGCGGGCATGCCGCGAATTCTTTTCCTTGCTAGCACGCGCCAGTTCGCACCTGTGTCGAGCCTGTGTGCTGTGTGAGAGAGTTGTTTTGTTTAAATTCTTTTCCTTGAGCATAGTTGTTTTGTTTAAATTCTTTTTCTTGTGAGAGAGTTCTCTACACATTCAACCCGCCATAAAAACGGTACATGTATGTCGGTGGAGTGCTCTCTACTGCCGCGGCGTCCCTGTCGGTTCGGAGGCGCCCGGCGGCCGCGCTTGGTGCCGACGTCGACCGGCTGCTCTCGCGGCGCCGAGACGTGCGGCTTTGGTCACGTCTCGCGCGCTGCGAGGTGTCTTTTGGCATGTGAGCGCTTGCCAAAGACGCCAGCAAGCTCGCCTTCCTTGCCTGCGGCCGCGGGCGTGCAGGCGGGCCCGCCAGGCTCCGGCGAAGCTCGGCGCGGGTCTTCGAGCTCGCCGCCGGCGACGAGCCAGCATGGCTCGTCGCTCGACGGGAGCCTGTCCAGCATGCTCTGGGCATGCTGTACAGCATCGCCAACCAACTCTCAACTCTCTGGGAGGGTCTACAGGGACAGGGCGGGCCGTCTCGGCCGCGATAGCGCGCTCGATAGTACCACGACTACCAGCTCTCCGTCTTTCTATCTCCCTTCGCAGTCCCTCGCCGATTCTCGCTGCAACCTTCATGCCACCTCGCTCCGGGAACTTGAGCAATTCTTTTATCCGTTGCGGAGGATGTCGGACTCGCTGGCCGTCCCATCCCTCCCCACGCTCCCGACAGAGCTGCAGGCCTGTGTGCTTTCGCTCCTTCCGGCCCGCAGCCTTTGCTGCGCGGCTTGCTGCTGCTCCGCTTGGCAGGCGGCCGCGCCCGATCTGGCTCGCGAGCGGCTGCGGCGGCTGCTGCGGCCGGACCGGGCCGGATCTGTCGACGGCTGCCCGTGCCTGTTGCCCGCGCTGCACGCTGCCGAGCAGCTGCGGGCCAGCGTCGGCCCGTGGCCCGCCGACCGCGGGTGGCGCGACGAGTGGCCAGCGCTGAGGCTCGCGCAGGCGCGGCTGCTCGCGGCGAGCAAGGGCGAGGAGAGCCTCGCCTCGCTCGAGGAGAAGATGCGGCTGATGGGCGGGCTGGGCGCGGTGCGCGCCTTCTTTGCGCCCGGCAACGGCGGCTCGGTCGAGACGGAGGCGGCGCACTCGTATGCCGGCTCGCTGGCGTGGAAGGCGGAGGCGGGGTGGCCGGCGGAGCGGGCGGTGGAGGTGTCGCTCCTTGCGAGCCGCTGCGCGGGCGCCCTGACGCGCTCCATCCTCGAGCGGCGGGGCGAGCACGCGGCGAGCTGCTGGACGCTCTGCCTCGCCCTCTGGGAGCGGGGCTGGCGGCAGCCGGAGCAGCCGGCCCACGCCGGGGACGCGGCCGCGCCTTGCAGCTACGCAGCCCTGGGGGGCGAGTTTGGTCTCGCGACAGCGGATCCCGCGTGGGAGGCGCTGCGCGCGCCCGGGGCGCGGCCCGGCCTCTCCCTCGTCGCGCGCAACGTCGCCTTTGCGATGGAGGCCAACGGCGCCTCCTTCCCCGCGCGCGGCGACGGCGCCGGGCGCGGCTTTTGCGTGCCCGTGACTGGGCAAGGCCGCGTGACGTACGAGCTCGTCGACTCGGACGTGGCCTGCTTCCACGCCTCGCGGCCGGCGGCGGACGCGGCGGCGGACGCGGCGGCGGGCTGGGCGGCGGAGGCGGCTGCAGCAGAGGCGTCGGAGCAGGCGGCGGAGGCGGCGGAGTGGGCGGAGGCGGCGGAGCAGGCCGCCGCGGCGGTGGCTGCAAACGAAGTGGCGGAGATGGCGGCGGAGGTGAGAGCGGCGACGGCGGTGGAGGAGCGAGGAGGAGAGCGGCCGCCGGCGGTCGCGCGGGCTAGGCCGTCACCACGGGCCGGGCCGAGGCGCGAGCTGGTCGGCACGGATGACGCGATCTGGAGGCTGCCGCCGTTTGCACGCGTGACGCTGGTCGGCATCCGGCCGAGAGGGGCGTGGTGCGCCTACAGTCGCGGCAGGCCGATCCAACAGCGGTGCTTTGATGTGGTGGTCGAGTTTTGATGAGCCCGTCGCTCGTGGCTCTCTAGTCTCTCTTCTCAGCGCTGACGCTGTGCGAAAAAAACCATCTCTTCTCTCTACACCATCATGCGTGGGACGTATGAGGCTCTCCCCGACACGCCAGATACCGTACTCGCGAAGCGACCGTAGGGGCTCGCCCGATAAACCGGCACGCGCTAGTAGCGCGTGCACACCAACTGCTTCTCCGAAGGGGAGAGAGAGAACCGCGTTGCACGGAAAAAGGGTGACGCCGTCGGCGCGCTCGCTTTCGCAGCGCGCCGCAGCGCATCCGAACGTTACCTCTCACTCGAGGGAGAAGACGCCGATGTCCTCATACGGAGGTGGGTCGGGCCACTCCTCTGGCACCGCCTCGCCCTTGCCCCACGCCCGCAGCTCTTTGGTGCGGGCGACCTGCTCATTCTTCTCCTTCGTCTCGACAAGAACCTCCTGCCTCACCGATGCGAGCAGCGAGTTTGGGATGCTGGTTCCGCGGCGGCGACGGTTGGGCATGGCCTGGCCCTTCACCTTGTCAGCCTCAAGGGCGACCTGTGCCGCCTCGACAAACGAGGAGAGATCGAAGCCAAGAAGTGGCGACGAGGCGCCGAGCTTTGCGTTCGTGCTGGATGCCTCGGGGCCAAGCGGAGACATCGCTCTCTGAGCTTGTGCGAAGAGAGGCGATCCGGGATCCCAGAGGACACGTGGTTTGACCGAGATACGGCCGCCGAGATCCCAACCAGTTGGAGGCCAGTTGGAGGCCGCCTTGCCCGATTTTTTTCTGCCGTGCGACCGTAAAAGAACACCGTTCACTTTCACACAGGGATTTCACGGGAAAGAAGGTGTGTTGCTAGCCGTCGCCCACTCTCGGCGTCTCTCTTCGTAGGTAGGTAGGTAGGAAGTGAAGAACAGCCAGGCTCGGACTGGACACCAACGCGGTATGGGTTGACGCTAGACAGATGAGATGACGACACGCACGAGCGACACACAGACACAAACATGCTCACAAGACACACAGCCAGCGGGCTGCCACACACCCTGAGTAGGCGTACACATAACTCAAGGCCACATCCTCCCTGTCGCCCCCCCCAGCACTCCAAGGTGCCAAGAGAACAAACAAGGGCACAACAAACAACAGACAACAGGAAGTGACATGCGAAGCTAGAGCAGGCTTGCTCTACCTCCAGCAAGCTCTCCGGCCGGCGGGGCACGGACGAGACCGTGTGTGGGGTCTAGTGAGGTGTCTATGGACGCCCTCCTCAGAGGCTAGCGGCCTACGGCTAGCCCTGTCTCGCACTCACAGGTGATGACAATCCAATGTATGAGTGTATGCAAGCAGAGGCGCGTGTGCTAAATCTAGGCCGCACGTCGTGGCACTATGACGGAGGTAGACGTGCGACCGCAGCGCGCCCACCAGAGTCTCGGTGGTGCGCGCGTGTTAGCGATAGAGTTGCGGGGAGAGCCATGCCCGACTTTTCGAAGGCGAGCCCCACGCCACGGATGCCAGCCGTGCTTTCGCGGGAGTCGTCTCTCGAGCCGCGTCCCGTCGGCACTGTCCTCGAGTAGCCCCGCCTTGGCGGCACACACTCTCGACCAGGACAGTCCGGCCTACGGGAACGCGTCGCGCGCCGGCGACGATTGCGGCGTGGTCTTTGTGAAGCGAAGATGGCACGACCACCGCCCTGCTTCGCAGACCGGGCAAGGAGGGGCCTGCTCCCGTTCCGCGAGGAACAGGAGGTCTCCCCCCCTCCCCCGGCCTGAGCAGCGACGGTGGAAGGCAGCCCCGTGAGTCGAGGGCGGCGCGACCATTGTTCTGCGTCAAAGGCCGGAGGCCCGATCAGGACAGATGTTCGCGCCGCCCCGCTCCGCCCCGCCCGCCGCCGCGCCGCGCCGCCGCCCGATGATTATTAAGTAATAATTAATTAACAAATAATTAATTACCCCACCGCCGCCGCGCCGCCCCGCCCTGCGTCGCCCGCTGCCTCGCCGCGCCGCCGCCTCGCGCCGCCCGCCGCCGCGCCGCTCCGCCGCCCAATGATTAATAAATAATAATTAATACTCGATCATTAATAATGTGTGTGTGCTTGCGTGTGTGTGTTTGTTTGTTTGCGCGATGGCAGGGAAGGGCAGGGCAGCCGCGAGCAGCAAGTGGCGTCGGCGACGCGGCGAGGACACGATGGTGAGGCCCTCAGCGCAGCGTGCGCGGCAGCAGCGCCGACGGCGGTCCCACGCCGCGGCCAGATTCGGGCGGCTGGCACGTGGACCTGTATGCTGGCCGCTAGATTTGACGGTGCACTGTTCTCACGACTGACTGAGAGACCTCGAGAGTGCGTGCGTGTGCCTCTACTCGCCAGGTCCATATTATGTCGTTAAAGCTTTGCCGGCCGGAGTTTTGTGTGTCCGGGCCGGTGACTGGCTGAAAGCGCGGCGTACTCGCTCGCGCGCAGAAAAAAAAGTTTCCCGCGAGCGCGCGGACACTGGCACTAACACAGGTACGAAGTCACTTGCGGGAGGGTGGTACGCCAAAAAAAATTTTGGTGTGTGTGTGTGTGTGTGTGTGTGTGTGTGTGTGTGTGTGTGTGTGTGTGTGTGTGTGTGTGTGTGTGTGTGTGTGTGTGTGTGTGTGAGGTTTGTTGTTGTGGGTGGTGCCGCGGGAGCAAAAAAATCTAGCTCCGGAGACTGACTGACACTGTCCCAAGTCGCTTCGCCGTATCAAAGCGAGATGCTCTACCCGTCACTGCTGCTCGGTTGGTACACCCGAGATAGCGGCCGATGCCGCGGCGAAACAATCGCGGCACGCACTTCTGCAGGAGGAAGACTGAACAAGGTGCAGCTCTCCAACACCCTTGTTCACGACGCGTCCTCCTGCAGAAGTGCGTGCCGCGATTGACTTCCGCGCGGTCACTGTCTCCCGATAAACAGGTTGCTGCCAGCCCTGCCCCCCGATCACAGGCTGCCGGCTAGCCTCACTTGCCCTGCCAGCCTTGCCCCACACCGCGCCGATCGCGGCTGTCGCACCCATGCCGCAGGAAGTACAAAATGCTCCTCGCGTCCGCCGCCCTCTCGTTGCCTGTTGGAGGCTCTCGCGGGGTGTGCAGCCACCGACACGGACCAACGGTGGCCGACAAGCTCAACCAGCTCAACGAGGCGACCGGCAAGGAGTGCCGCGACAAGGGCCTGCCCGCCTACGCCTGCTCCGGCTTCTTCATCCACGCCATCGAAGGTGGCCTCGGAAACAGCCAGCTCGGCCTCGCGGACAAGGGTGTCACGATTAAGGAGGTGATCAGCCCGCTGTCCTCCCCATTCGATGTGGTAAAGCCGCTCAAGCTGCGCCTCGACTGCTCCGGCTACATCGGCGCTGGTGAGGACCTGGGCTGCTTCAACCACACGGACAGACTTGCCAGTGAGACAGAGTTCACCGCGCTCGGCGGCAACGACAACACTTTCCAGACGGGGTGGAACGGTGTCGAAGGCCGCGGCGATGCGTGGCGTTGCCCGAAGGAGCTGGACGCCAACTTCTACCCGGCCTGGTGCCAGACTCCGAAAGCGCTGAAGGTTGGTGGAACCAGCTTCACCTTCAATCGCCGGGACCTCACCCCGACTAAAGAGGAGGGAAAGACGATGCCCTTCCCCAATTGCAGCTCAGCGACACCAAATGCACCGAACGACGCACCAGACGGACCCTACGGGTGTGGCAATGTCGACGGCGGCGCCTTTGTCTTCCCCTTCAACGCAAACCCGCTGCCGTTCGGCGGCCTCGTTCTCTCTCCGGGGCTGAATAAGAACCCCAAAAGCGTCGAGGAGCAGCTTCCCTTCTTCGCCGAGACAATTAAGCTCCTCTCACCGCAGGACGCCAACACCTTCAATCGCGCGGCGTGCGCAGCTGGGCCGGGCGTGGGGGAGATGCTCCTCGCGAATGCCACGCTCGACGCCTTTGGCGGCGCGCCGGGCACCATCACAGTGGAGGACATCCATGCGACTGACAACTGCAACCCTACGATGGGGACGAACACCTGGCTGCCCGGGGACCTTACGGCCTTCTGCCCCGACACAACTAACGCTGAGAACTACTGGGAGCACTGGGAATCCAATGTCATGGCCGCCCTTGAGTCGCTCTACCGCATCGGCGAGGCGGGCGGGCATGGTCTAGCGACCAACGCCGCGGGACAACCCACCCGTTTTGGGGATGCAAAAGAGCAGGCCGTCTCGCTCTTCTGCGACCTCTTCGGAACGGTCTCTCTCCCCCCTGATCTTGTGCCGGAATGCTTCCAGAACAAGTGCGTCAGATCCGAACAAGTACTGCTTGATCGTGCAGCATGGACTGGAATTCCCAGCGACATGCAGCCTGCTGCCGGGAGCGTCTTCCGCGCCAATGGTGCGTCTACAACCAATTTCGACAGCCTCGCCCTCTGCATGCTTCGGCCGACGCAGTTTAGCATCTTTGAGAAGGTGACGAACTTTAACGAGATCAGCAAGCTTTGGAAGAGCATCCCCAAGCAAGGCTTGAACAACGAGGTCATCATGAACTGGGCGGGCCGCGAATTCACGGACCTTGCGCCGCACACAGCCATCTGGGCGCCGGCGGCCATCAATTACATCAACGCAGGAAAGACGCCGGCGCAGGCTGCGATCATGTTCGACGACGGCGTGCGCGGCGCCTACCAGGTCGCCGAGAGCTACCGCAACGCGACTGGCATCTCGCTGCCCGTCGTGGTCGTGAACCAGGAGGGACAGCTGCGGGACTCCAAGACGCCGATGTTCAGCTGCGCTGAAGACTACTTTCAGCCAGAGGGCTTTGAGGTGGGCACCCCGTTCGACACTTCCATCGGCGCACCCCCCCTGAAGTGAGCGCGGAGCATGTTCAAGCAACCCTTCGCGCCGATTCTGGCGACTCGGAGTCAACTCAACCCAGATCGACACCAAAATGTGTTCAATACGAGGGAGGTGTGCACCTGCGCCAATGATCTTCTTGTCTGAGTGTTTCCATTCTCGCTCTAGTTCTCGCTGTGTTCCAGAGAGTGCGCCCTGTATGAGTATACCTGTCTACTGCTGAGAGAGAATGAGTCATGCACATATGGCTCGATCCAACTACGGAAAGAAAGCAAAGCGGCAACCCCATATGTTGGTGTCTCGGAGGAAATTGCATTGAGCACGACCTTGGGAGCGGGTCGAGCCTGCGGCGGCTCGGCACGGTGCAAGAGGGAAGGGCCCAAAGCTTCGGCTGGGACTCTTAGCGCACGCAAAGGTCGATTACTGCGGCCGGTCTGCGTGCCCTCACGGGCCGGCATTTGTGGCGGAGAAGGCAGCTCGCCACCTCCCTCTCAGGGCAGCCAGGCGCTTTTGCTCGTTCCCACGAGACGTTTTTTTGGAAATAAATCAATGAAAATGGTCAAATTGAAAATGGAAATTGAAAATGGTCAAACACGAGACGGATAGTGGGTTCCATGTTTCCCGCTCTGGCCCCTGCGCGATCTTGGTGAGAGGGATCTCGTTCCTTGCCGCCCTCGTTACCGACCTCAGTCTGCCACGCCCTCTCTGTCCTCCTCGCCGCCCGCAAACCTCACGCCGACACTCTCGAGCAGGGCGCGCTGCAGCGCCGCCTCCTCCTCCGCGTCGCCGGCTCGCAACGGCGCGCAGCCGCCGCGCCCGTCGTCGCTGTCGCCGCTTTCGTCCTTGGCCCCGCTGACGAGCAGCCCGTCCTCGTCGTCGTGTCCGCCCACGTCGAGGTCAGCAAACGCATCGATCCAGCCGCCGAAGCCGGCGGACGAGCGCTGCACCTGCGCACACACGCGCGAGGCGTACGGTTCCCAGCGTCGACTTTTCGATCCCACGGAGCCTCTGCTGCTCGGGGGGGGGGGGGGGGGGGCGGGGGGGTCTGCAGGCCACCCGGCCGAACTTCAGAGTCGCGGTGCTCCTCAAATACCGCTCAAACGCCCACGATGTTGTGGAGGGGACATATGCTGATGATCCCGGCCCGATTGGTTCGCTCAGAAAGCTTCTGGGCGGTCGTTAAGGTTCGCTCCCCGCACACCGGCCCGGAGCCTGGGTACCCTAGAAATAGGTAGGTAGGTAGGGCGTATGTATGTATGTAGAAAGATGAACAACAGTCAGGCTCGGACTGGACACCAACGCGGTATGGGTGGACGCGGGACAGATGATGACGACACGCACGAGCGACACACAGACACAAACAAGCTCACAAGACACACAGCCAGCGGGCTGCCACACACCCTGAGTTGGCGTACACATAACTCAAGGCCGCGCCCCCTCCCTGTCGCCTCCCCCAGCCAAGGTGCCGAAGGAACAAACAAGGGCACAACAACACAACAGACGACAGGGGCGAACGCGTGAGGCTAGAGCAGGCTTGCTCGTCCTCTAGCAATCTCCGCCGACCGCGAGGCCGGACTAGACCGTGTGTGGGGTCGTGTGAGGTGTCTCTGGTCACTCTCCTCAGAGGCTAGCCGCCAGCCGCTAGCCCTATCTCGCACTCACTGGCGGTGACAATTCTATGGGTGAGCGTATGCGAGTAGAGGCGCGTGAGCCGATTCTAGATCGCATGCCATTGGCATATAACTTGGCTTGGCGTGCGACCTCATCGCGCCCGCCGTCAGCTCGACGGGGCGCGCATGTCAGCTTGAGGTTTGCCGGTAGAGCGATCCCGGTCTTGTCGAACGCGAGCCCCGCGCCACGGTTGCCAGCCGTGCCTTCGCGAGAGTCGCCCTCGAGCCGCGTCCCGTCGGCACTACCCTCGAGTAGCCCCGCCGTGGTGGCACACACTCTCGACCAGGACAGTCCGGCCTACGGGAACGCGTCGCGCGCCGGCGACGATTGCGGCGTGGTCTTTGTGAAGCGAAGATGGCACGACCACCGCCCTGCTTCGCAGACCGGGCAAGGAGGGGCCTGCTCCCGTTCCGCGAGGAACAGGAGGTCTCCCCCCCTCCCCCGGCCTGAGCAGCGGCGGATGGAAGGCAGCCCCTTGAGTCGAGGGCGGCGCGACCATTGCCGCTCTCCAATGGACCAGAGGCCCCGGTCAGGACAGATGGTCGCGCCGCCCCGCTCCGCGCCGCCCGCCGCCGCGCCGCGCCGCCGCCCGATGATTATTAAGTAATAATTAATTAACAAATAATTAATTACCCCACCGCCGCCGCGCCGCCCCGCCCTGCGTCGCCCGCTGCCTCGCCGCGCCGCCGCCTCGCGCCGCCCGCCGCCGCGCCGCTCCGCCGCCCGATGATTAATAAATAATAATTAATACTCGATCATTAATAATGTGTGTGTGCTTGCGTGTGTGTGTGTGTTTGTTTGCGCGATGGCAGGGAAGAGGGCAGGTCAGCCGCGAGCAGCAAGTGGCGTCGGCGACGCGGCGAGGACATGATGGTGACGCCCACACAGCGCAGCCAGAGCGCAGCGTGCGCGGCAGCAGTGCGTCGGCAGCCCCCCACGCCGCATCAGCGGCGCTCTGAGTGAGTCAGGCTGCGCTGAACAGCCTGCTGAGCACGCTCCCGACGAGCAGCGCGCCCCGCGGGCCCGCCGCAGGCGACGCGGGCGGCGAGCCGATGCGCGTGTCGTAGGCGTAGGCAGCGCTGGCGAAGCGAGGCGGCCGGCGCCGGCCCCCGCAGGCGGTTGCAGCGAGAGGAGCGAGGTAAAAGACACTGTTGAAAGGTTGGAGAGCAGCCTGCCGTCGAGCAGCGCGCCGCGCAAGCCCGCCGCCGGCGACCCGATCGGAGAGCTCGTAGTCATGGTAATTCAGCGCGCCATCTCGCCCGAGACGGCCCGCTCTGGCCCTGTCGGCCTTCCCAGACACCTTGTCGAGGCTGTACAGAGTGCCGAGAGCATGCTGGGCAGGCTCCCGTCGAGCGACGAGCCATGCTGGCTCGTCGCGGGTCGCGAGCTCGAAGACCCGCGCGGAGCGTCGCCGAGCCTGGCGTGCCCGCCCGCACGCCCGCGGCCGCAGGCAAGGAAGGCGAGCTTCCTGGCGTCCATGCCAAGCGCCGACATGCCAAAAGACACCTCGCAGCGTGCGTGACGTGACCGAAGCATATCGCCTCGGCGCCGCGAGAGCAGCCGGTCGACGTCGGCACCAAGCGCGCGGCCGCCGGTCGCCTCCGAACCGACAGGGGCGCCGCGGCAGTAGAGAGCACTCTACCGACATACCGTAAGGGCGTTTTGGCGCGAGCAGCAGACCCCCTATCCGGCTAGGAGCCGGAACCCAGGCGCTGAGTGGGGATCTTTGGGCCTGCTCGTCATGCCCAAGAACAAGAAGCGAAATGCCGGCGCCTCGTCATCGTCCGCACCCGTTGTGGCGACGTACGCGTACGACGATTTGATACCAGATCTGGCAGCATCTAATGCCGGAGGCGGCGGCGGTGGAGGCGGCGGCGGCGGTGGAGGCGGAGGCGGCGGCGGTGAAGGTGCATCCCTTCTCGGCACGCGGGTCCTGCTCGGGGGCCTTCAGGCCAAACCAGAGCTCAACGGTGAGCGCGGCACGGCCATCCATTACGATGAGGCCAAGGCGAGGTACGCCGTCGTGTTGGATCGCATCGGCGACAAGGCAGGCAACGTGATGATCAAGGGCAACAATCTGAATCTCATCGCCGCCGAGGACGAGCCCGCGTGGCGGGCGGACGACTCGTACTTCCATGCCGAGGTGGCCAGAGTCGCGCCGTGCGTCGATCCGTGCTTCGCCGCCGCGATCCAAGCAGAGGGGCCGGAGGTGTGCCTCAAGGGCAGCAGCGCCAGCGTGCGCACCACGCGCACCTTCCTCGCGACGCAGGGCGCCGCCGAGAGCTGCGTGCGCTTCCACGTGTTTGGCACGAGCGCGATCGAACTGAGGGTCACGCGCGGGGAGCCGGGGAACGCGCTGGACGTCGAGATCAACAAGCTGCGCGACGGCTCCCTGGTCAGCGTCGCGCTCTCCGTGGGCGAGGAGGGCGACTACGGCATGCGCCACTTCTGGGTACACGTGCTCCGGGACGGCCAGCCGATTGGCAAGCCGCGCCAGTGCTCGTGCGCGCAGTACACGAGGCCCTTTGCTGAGGCGACGGCGACGCGCGGCGGCGTCGAGGTGGTGACCCGTTACATGACGGGCGCGGCGGCCAAACGACTGGGCCTCCTGACGTGGCAAGGGCTTCACCTGAGCGTCGCCCTCAAGCGCAGTGGTGGGGGCGGCCTAGCGGCTGGCGCGGCGGGCGACGGGCCGCGCCTGCGCATGGCAGCTGCCGACGCGGCCACCGACGGCGCCCTGCTCGCCGCCGTGCACACTGCGGAGTGGGGCCAGAAGTTCTACTCTGCGGCCCAGGCCGGCAAGGTGGACGAGATGCGTGCGGCGCTGGGCCACGGCGCCGACGTCGAGACCGCGGGAGGCGACCGCATGGCGGCGGTGCACTGGGCGTGCCAGAACGACGCGTGCGCGGCGCTCGCCTTTCTGGTGGGCGAGACCGCCTGCAACCTCAACGCGATGGACAAGCAGGGATACGCGCCTCTGCACATCGCGGTTGAGAAGGGGCATGTCGAGTGCGTGCGGCTCCTGACCACGGGCGCGCGCTTCGCCGGCGGAGAGGCGTGCGACCTGGCGCTGAAGCTGTCCGACGGCAACACGCCGTTGATGCTCGCCCTCTCGATGTCCAAGTCGTCGGCGCGCCACCGGGAGATTGCGGCGCTCCTGCGTCAGGCGACGGGCGCCAGCGTCGAGGAGATGAGGGAGGCGATGCAGCGCCGGCCGGTGGGGCCCCTCTTCGACTCGGTCGCGCCCGACGGCCACGGCTGGGACCGCGGCGGCGCGGCGTGCCGCTTCGCGCGCGGCGCGCCCGACGCGCTGAGCGGCTACCCTCCGCGCTGGCTGTATGCGCTGCAGCGGCTCTCGGAGGGCAACTATGCGATGCTCGGCATGGCGGAGCATGGCGACGGACCGACATACGTGCATATGAGCCCGGCCGATGGCGGGCCGTGGTGGCGGCTGCGGTGGCTCGCGCGACACGAATGGTCGGGCCGGGCCGCGGACGCCGCGGTCATCGACACGGTGCACGCCCAGCTGCAGCGGCCACAGGACGGTGCGAACCGTCTTCGACTGGCGGACGTGCGCCCAGCGTGCG